GCTGTGTAACACTACTGGTGTTTTCCCAATGAGACAAAAATGGAGGATTTTACACCACACAATGACAGTCAGAAAACGGAGCACAGGACCAATACAAAAACTACTAGTGACTTTAACATACAGTTTGGGGAGGAAAAAAGTAAAATATATCATTTTCAAATTAAAAAATATCTTGTAGCCCAGCCGGTACTGTGGTGTTGAGGCAAATAGACCCCACGTAGCCGAATGTGTGGCTGGAGTCCTGGACCCGGCAGTTTGAAAGACACTCCAGGTGCGCGTGCATACATGCCCAAAATGCCAAGAGAACAGCGGCGAGGGGATTATGGTGTGGTCATCCTCCCCAGGGGGAGCTTTCTTTCCTGCTCTGTTTTTCTTCCTATGGCAAGCACACACACCCTCTGGTGCAAAAAAAAAAGACAAAGACAAAAAAAAAAAAAAACTAAACTAACAATTCAAGAGAAAGGTCAAAACGAAAGTTTAAAATGGTTTACTTTTAAAAGATTGAATTTTAAATTCAAGTTCTTATGTAAATTCATGCATAAATTAGCAAAGCAAACTTAATTTTGAAAATAGGAAAGCAAGGGAAATAAGGAAGTTTGAACAACAATTAAAATACCTCTTTACACACCTCTGTGTCTTTAAGGAGTCATTAATACAGGGGGTGCACTTCTGTTGGGGCCAGCCCCATAGACAGCCGAGTGTGCGTGCCCCAAATCTCAACGGGATGGAGAAATGGAGAAAGGACTGCACCGAGACCATGCCCTACCGGGGGTGCCCTCTCTCCCTCCCCTGTCTCCTCATAGCTCTCTGGCAAGGGCCTGCACTCTGACAATGAAAAAGCAAACGAATAGGGAATAGCAAGTGGCGGAATGGTAACGTCGTGGATGCCCACATGAGTCAACCATGATGTGAGTCCTGGACCCAGCGGCGTAAGACTCACACCAGGCGTGCATGTGTGCCCAAGATGCCAAGAGGAGAAGGCAAGAGAAGAGACTGCGGCGTGGCTATACCCCCGGGGAGTGATTCCTTGGTTTCTGTCTCTCTAGCTTTGTGTCTCTAGTGAGCGCATACGCCCTATAGCAAAAATCTCACTCTAAAAGAATAACTAAAATAAAAATGAAATGTGTGTTTTATCTCAGATTTCTAACGAAGCTCTTCAGCACCTGACCTCGCATCCTGGCCCTAACCTGTGGGATCCTCTCACGGTGCCTGCCCAAGGCCACAGACTCTCAGGAGTGATCTGCAGTGTCCTCGACTGGTCCCCTTCCCTCCCCTTCCTTCCCCACACGCCAGGCAAAGCACCCCGGGAGACGGAAAGACATCTTCCCGGGTAAGAACTTGCATAAACCGTCCGTGACACAAATCACGGGGCGGAGGAGACACGTGGAGAGGCATAAGGCTCAACTCCAGAGGCTGAAGAGCTCTGCCTAGCCCAGGGAGCTTTAGCATCTCTGAGGCTCAGACTCCATGTCTTGGGGTGTCTTGGGGTCGGGGAGGGGAATCTGGCGACAATAGTCAAAAGAATACCACTAGCCCATCACAAGTACTTGCTGAAAACCCTCCCTTCCCCTTTGTCTGTTTAAATGCCATTCCTTAATTCGAGTTAATGAGAACTTTAACAAGATTTAATGCCATGAGCCCCAAAACAAATGGTGAATTTTCATTAAATCAATCCAAAAGCAATGAGCATATCTGATCCCCACCAGGTACCCACTCACACCAGACACTTTACCTAGACAATTTCCTGGCACCCATTACAATTAAACTGGAAATTAAAGCAAACCAACCAGAGCATTAAGTTGAGTAGGTGGCATTTTCTCCTAGTCTTTCTCACAGGGCCCAGATAAATTAGGACCCGGACCGCCCACCCAGTGCCCACCACCTGCCGCAGGCTCTCTGTCACCGCCAGGCGCTGTGGTTACTGAAGCACATGTTTCTCAGTCCCCACAAACACCCCAGAGAAGCTGCAGTTCTCTTCTTGCTTTCTCCCTCGCTGCCGGTGCACGGAGGACGACATTCTCACAGTAGCTGTGTAACACTACTGGTGTTTTCCCAATGAGACAAAAATGGAGGATTTTACACCACACAATGACAGTCAGAAAACGGAGCACAGGACCAATACAAAAACTACTAGTGACTTTAACATACAGTTTGGGGAGGAAAAAAGTAAAATATATCATTTTCAAATTAAAAAATATCTTGTAGCCCAGCCGGTACTGTGGTGTTGAGGCAAATAGACCCCACGTAGCCGAATGTGTGGCTGGAGTCCTGGACCCGGCAGTTTGAAAGACACTCCAGGTGCGCGTGCATACATGCCCAAAATGCCAAGAGAACAGCGGCGAGGGGATTATGGTGTGGTCATCCTCCCCAGGGGGAGCTTTCTTTCCTGCTCTGTTTTTCTTCCTATGGCAAGCACACACACCCTCTGGTGCAAAAAAAAAAGACAAAGACAAAAAAAAAAAAAACTAAACTAACAATTCAAGAGAAAGGTCAAAACGAAAGTTTAAAATGGTTTACTTTTAAAAGATTGAATTTTAAATTCAAGTTCTTATGTAAATTCATGCATAAATTAGCAAAGCAAACTTAATTTTGAAAATAGGAAAGCAAGGGAAATAAGGAAGTTTGAACAACAATTAAAATACCTCTTTACTCTGTATTAAATCTAGTCAATATTACTTGGAGAGGAGACCAACCTCCAGCTCCAGGGCTGCATTGGGCTACTTTGACCCTTCCTAATGTCTGACACGGGTACCCCTTTTACACAAAGCTGCCTCCACTGTCCCTAATTCTGACACCCAGCTAACTGAAGGGTCAGGAGACCTGAGACCAACCCTGGGCAGGCATTCCCCAGGTTGGCTGACCAGTAACACATTTCCTAGGTCCAGGGCTGAAAAGAAAAACAAACAGACCAGGCATCTCTCAAGAATGTGAACTAGGAATAGTGACAAGAATTGGTCACTTAGAAATAGAAAGAATGCAGCAAGAAATGCCAAAGTTGAACTGGGGCCAGGGGATTTAGCCAGCTAAGAAAGCACGTGAGCTGAGGCCTAGGGGAAGGAAAACCGGAGAGAGCAGAGCCGGTGGGTGGTGCAGAGCAAGGCTCCAGCAGACGGAGAGGCGGAGCCCGCTGAGTGCAGTCCCAGGACAACTGCTCCAGAGGCCCACGGAGCAGCCAGGGCCGGCCTCAGGCGCCAGGCTCCAGAGCTCCGCCCCAGGCCCCACATTCCTGGATGGCCAGGAGATTCCTATCGCACCACATGCCTTCCTGCTGGCTGGCCCCACTGGGTCTCCCACCACCAATGTGGTGCAAGCAAGGAACTGATACTGAAGGTTTTAAGAAACCACAGACACATACAAACACAAAAGCCTCCCACCTGACAGAAAAGGGGCCTGGGGAGCTCCTGGGGTAACGAATACAAAGCTCCGTGTCCTTTTTTTTTTGGTGGGGAGAGGTTTTTGCTATAGGGCGTCACACCAGAAAGAGATAGAGACAGAAAGCGAGAAATCACCCCCCAGGAAGGATGGCCACTCCGCATTCCCTTCTCATTCATTCTTCTCTAGGATCTTGGGCACGCATGCACATGCACCCACATGAGTTTAAGCCACCGGGTCCAGGACTCGAACCGTGGTTGGCTACATGGGAGTCCAGCAACATAGCCATTACTCCAACTGCTGGTCCCAAAGCTCCATGTCCTGACAGAGGTATGGACGAGCCTTTGGCTTAAACTAATCAAAGTGTACATCTAACAACACATGACCAATGGACTGTGTACAAATCATGTATCAATTCAAACAACACTTCCCCTAATCTTTACTTATCCCCTGACTCAAGTTTTCATTTTGTTTCTCAAAACGGTATTAATCTAAATAAATTTCACAAATCCAATGTGGAGCAGAAGCAGTCAGATGCAAATATACCTGCGTTTTCATTCAAAGAAGAGAAACAGGTGATGTTGGGTGTGAGAGTTGAGAAGGGCTGACTCGCGAGAGCGAGGGAGCAGGGACTTATTCATAGGGCTGCCCGAGCTCCTGTTCCCAAGCCTGGTGCCAAGGAACGCAGCGTGCCAGTTCGACACGCTGTCAGCAAGGTGTATGTCTGTGGTGGACGCACTTTCCTGCATGCTATATTCCGCTGGGTGAATTCCCAGTAACGACACAACAGAGCAGGCAAGGAATACCCTACAGTAACCTAAAAGTGAGTGAGAAAGGTTTAGGGCCAGCCAACGGTACGGTGGGTAAGGAGGCTGGATCCTGCATGGCCTACTGTGTGGTTTGAATCCTGGACCAGTGGCTTGACAAACAAGCCAGGCACGTATGTGTACACGTCTCAAACCCCAAAGGAAAGAGAAATGGAGAAGAGACTGTGACATGACTGTCCGCTACGAGGAGGCGTTTTCTCACACACACAAACACCCACTCTGTGAGTGCACGCAACCTCTGGCAAAAAAAAAAATTTGTTTTGCTTTGCTTCTAGTACAATGGTTATTTAGGTAGAAATAAGCAAAGTATGACTTTACCCCATTTGTGGAATTCCAACTTGACTCATGGATTTGATGGGGGGGGCTCCTTCAATCAAACGCCTTAAATAACATGTGTATCATCCTACGGTGCTTGGGGCTATGCCTACCTAAAGGAGATACAGCACGACCAGGCTGGCCTCTGAACGCACAGAAGGAAAACCACACTCCACACTCCTTTCCTGCTTCAAGGAACAAGAACGAAATCCAGAGAAAGAAGGATCTTCTTAGAATCCCACTTCTGAGTTTTCAAAGGGAGAATTAACTTGACTGTGTACACCACCCTCGGGTACATTTGAAGACACAGACTTTTGATTTTCAGAAGCCTATATGAGAAACTACCTGCCGTTCATAAGCGTAAAGACAGAGTAAGTAAAGAGGAAGGAATGGAGATACACAACAAATGTTCATTTTAGAGACCATCAAATTCTAGCACTTAAAACATAAGAAGCCAGAGAGCGAATGGAAATGCGAAGTACTTACCGCCATAATTAGCTCAAAGGGGTGTTTATACACCCTCACCGGTGACTGGTATTTCTGCACCATGATTGTAACACAACGGCAACCCTCACACCTGCAAACAGCAACACGTGTGATAAATAACCACCATCCAGACACGTGGACGTGCGCACTGACACAGGAGACCACAGCCTAGGGCAGACAGGGACCATCACAGCTCATGATTCTGTGCACAAAAATCTAGAGATGGCACTTAGACGCCCAGGGGCAGGGAGGGACTAATTAGAAAAGGAGGGAGTCCCAGCAGGGAGTCCTGGCGGAAGGAGGGAAACAACACCTGAGAGCTGCCTCTGCTCCCCTCCGCTCCCCTCCCTCCCCTCCGCTCCCCTCATCACATGGCTGGGCTGCACTGGCGAGGGGAGGGGAGTGCTTTCTGCGATGAAGTGCTATGATTCAATCAGTCTAACAGCCGACAAAGTTAGTGTCTCTTAAACAATTTCTACCAGGAGCCAAATAAAGTGGTAACACATTACGATATTAGCTCTGGGGAAACACAAAAATAAAAGGGGAAAAACACGATTTTTATCTCAAATGATGTAATGTTCTTCAAAAGCTAGCTTCGAAAGAAACTTGTGTCAATTGCAGATTTCAAACTGTGTATACTACACTCTCAGAGGCCTGTCTTGAAACGGCAGAAAGGCCGAGCCCCTTGACTTAAATAGCTGTGATCTCTAAATAGTTCATTAAATGCTCAAGCCTAATTCACACGTCAAAGAAGCCTTCTGCGAGGTACATAATCACACTCTGGGGTCAGCCTATGTGGAATTTTCTCCCCCACTTAAGAGAGAGAAGAAAAACTAGTCTAACGGGCCTGCCTGTTCTGCTGAAAATACTCATTAAGAATGCTATTTTATGCTGAGTATTGTGAGAGGATATTAAAAAGTGCAAAAAATAAGTATCTTCCAAGAGCCCAAAGTCTGTGAAGCAAGAAAATATATGTACACATACTGAGCTTCAGAAAACGCCTATCATGTTAATGCTATGTGAACAGGCCTGAACCCTGTGGGGTGTGTCTGTGTGACCTACCTTTCAGGAGCGGGTTAATGTAGAAAGCAGCACCATCTGACAGTGGGGAAACCGAAGGGTTAACTCTGGTGACCTCAAGCCAGCCATCTGAACTCCCTAGGACTCAGTTCCATCTCTGTAAAACAAGGTTTTACAACTCTAAAAACATGAAAATCAGGGTCAAACTCCCAAGTTCTTCTCCAAACTTAACCAGACTTCTTCACCTGGATTCTGGGCAACGTGTCCTGGTGTGCCTGGACCGCATTCTATTCAGTTTTGCAAACCTCATAATATTGATACACAGGGAGGAGCTGATCATCTTTTAAAAGTTTAATCAGGAAAATTCCATTTTAAAGCATCCCCTAGATAAGAGGACGATTACCTGGTACAACAGGGGTGCAGAGCGGATGCACAGAAGCCCAATGCTCCTTTAAGAAACTAACATCCATTCAGGATTCCACCGCTGGCAGAACCCAAGGCTACACTAAGAACCTGCTAATTCAGGAGCTTCTGAACTCCTGCCAGTCCCAGCCTGGGATGCCCTGGTCCAGAGAGACGCCCTACGCGGGCATCCGGAGTGACAGGGCCAAGTGGCTTCCAGGACCCAGCTGCCTCTATTGCATGACAATTGGTGTTGAAAGATCAGCCAAGGGCCAAACCCAGCGAGGACACTCCGAGCCGGCTCCGGAGGGGTCCAGCGCGCTCGCCCGAGCCGGCCAGGGAGCAGTGGGCCAGGGACTGGCTGAAGACCCCAAACTCTGCTCCCGCAAGAAGGGGCCCCCGCGAGTGGGACGCCGGACGAAACTGGGGCCAGAGGAGCGGCGAGGGGGGAGGGGCGGCGAGAGCCAAGGGCCAAACCCAGCGAGGACACTCCGAGCCGGCTCCGGAGGGGTCCAGCGCGCTCGCCCGAGCCGGCCAGGGAGCAGTGGGCCAGGGACTGGCTGAAGACCCCAAACTCTGCTCCCGCAAGAAGGGGCCCCCGCGAGTGGGACGCCGGACGAAACTGGGGCCAGAGGAGCGGCGAGGGGGGAGGGGCGGCGAGAGGCGGGCCGGGGCCGGGGGCGCAGGGGCCGGGCGCCGGAAGGGGCGCGCGTGCGCAAACGCGAGGGCGGAGGCGGGAGCAGGCGACGGTTGCTAGGGAGGAAGAGGATTGACAACCGGGGCTGGGCCCAAGCTGCGCAGGCGCGAGCTCCAGGCCGGCGAGCGTGGGAGGAGCTCGGGTGAGGCGACGGCCCGGGAAGCAGGGCTGGGTGGGGATGGCGCGGCGGGACGTTAAAATAACCGAGGCTGGAGGCCGGGTTCCTGCTCTGAGGCCCGCCTCTGGTCGGCTCCGGAGGTTCCCCCCTGTGCTTCCTCATTTCTTGTTGATTGCACAGAAGCTGCAGCCGCCCCCATGCAGCGGCCTGACCACTTCTCGCCGAGTCACGGAGATCAGGCAGACCCCTGAGCTGCGGAGGGAGCGGGTGGGATCCAGCTGAGCTGGTGTCGGGGTAGGCCCTTAGCGAGGAGAGAGTCCTCAGCGCGGCAGCTGAGCAGGTCAGATTCAGCAAGGTCTAGCTCCCACTCTAGACTGTGACAGATATACACACTGAGTCTCTGAAAGGGCCTTAGGAGGAGCCGGTGACCACGACGACCCTCGCACCACCACCCACATGCAACGCTGCAGTTTCTCCGTCCTTGTCACATTCCATTCACATTAGTCACTCTGGGTGGTTGTCCCTGTCTTGCTGCCATTGCTGAGGAAGTTTTCGGAATGTTTTGGAATTTCCTTCAGGGCCAGTTTACCAGCCCCACAAGCAACTCATTCATTACTTGATCACACCTTGTTTGCCACACAAACCATCATTTTCCGGCTCGCTCGCCCACGTTTATCCACTAGACTCAGTCTGTCTGGCTTTTGCCTGTTTGTAGAAGTCACATTGCTTTTCAAAAGATGCTTGGATAAAGAGATAGCCCAGGTAGTCTCCTGACAGGGTAAATAACAGCATCTGTGGAAAGATCTTGCCAAAAAATCGACCTAACTTGATAACCACCGATCTACAGGAAATGGAGAACAGAGGGGCCTGCTAAATGACTCCATGGGAAGCCATCCACAAAGACCAGCCTGGGAAACACTACAAGACGAACACATTCTTTAGAAAATAAATTCCAAAGTTAAAGAGGAGAAAGGTCAATTTACAGATTTAAAGAGACCAGGAAATTCACTGAGCTTTACGTGTATGACTTAATATGCTTTTTTCCTTGTGCATGGTATTTCAATGACAATTTTTAAAGAAAAAAGAGATTTGAGACGTCAACCAATTGCAGTAATGAACTTTATTTCCCTCTTGATTTAAACAAATAAAATAGTAAAAGAATTTTTATGAAACAAATGTAAATGCTATTTGAACAAATGATGACATTTAGGGATTATTAATTTTGAGGTGGGATAGTGGTATGGTGGCTAATATTTTTTAAAAGAAGGCTTATCCTTCAGGGATACATACATTTTTTTCGGGGTGAAATGATGTCTGGAATTAGCTTCAAAACAATTCATATGAAGAAAGAGAAGCTGAAGGCCATAGATGAAATCAGACTGGCCCTCAAGTGTCATTCATTCTGATTCTGTACATTGTTGTATATACTTGAAATTAGCCGTAATAAAATGTTTTTAACAACAACAAAAAAGCTAGGTTGGGGCCAGCCTGGGGCCAAGTGGTTAAGGTGGCTGGATCCCACATGGCCAGCCTAGTGGTTTGCTTTCTGTGCCCCGTCACTTGAGAAACATGCCAGGCGTGTGTGCGTGTGTGTCCAAAATCCCAAGGGAGAGATGGACAAGAACACGACCATTCCCCATGGGGCTCTCACTCGTTTTCTCCCTCCCACACATACACACACACCTTCTGACAACATTTTTTTTAAAAACAGGGGAGCAGTTTGTCAACACCAGGCATGGCAAATCAAGATGTAATAACACTCTCAAGAGGTTTTTGAAAATGTCTCAAGCAATAGCAGTATCAAGATACATGAACAAATTCCCAAGGTGAATAATTTGAGAAAAAAAAAAAAACTTGTTCAGAGGCATAAATTATGGTATGTTCAGTTGTTTTTAACTCAGTTTTATGGGCAGGTGCACAAAATCTGTAGGAAATTCTATGGAGCAGCATGCCTCAGGGTTCAACGAAAAAACCAAGTCCCTGTGCTCGTCACACATGAGCGGGGAGTGCTCATTATGGTGGCCCCTGTGCAAGGTATACAGATGACCAGGATGTGGAGGGGGAAGTAGAGAAACGTACTGGGATCAACTTTGGCTGCCAGTGACTAAAACCCCAAGTAGATGGGGCCAGAAGATGGTGTGGTGGTTAAGGTGCTGGATTCCCACGTGGCCAACTGCTATTTGCGTCCTGGACCTGATGGCTTGAGAATCATGCTGGGTGCATGTGCCTGCATGCTCAAAATCCTAAGAGCAGAACGGAGGTGAAGGGATTGCAGCGTCGCCTGGAGGGTGATTTCTAGTATACTTTCCTCTCTCAGACAAGCACACATGCCCGATGGCAACTTACTCCCCCCAAAAAGCAAAAAACAACCAAAGCAGAAGTGTCATGATGAGGTAGAAGTCTAGGTCCCTCTTATATGAATAAGGAATGCCAAGGCTGGTGTGCCACTTCCACGACCACTATCAACTGCCAACTCCCCAAGAGACCACCAGAATAACTTCCAATGAAACGAGGATAAGGTGATTCCACCAGCTGCAGCAGGGAGGGCTTTGCCATGACCAGAGTCACGTGTCAGGCATGCCTAGTGTTTCAGAGGGTGGTCCAGGTGGGCGTGTCAGGGCTTGGGGGTCTCGGCTGGAGTGTTCAAGGCAGATGTCTCTATGCTGGCATCTAAGCGGGATGGGACCAGGTCTGTGATGTGCCCGTCTTGAGAGCATCTTTGTCATGAGCTCCTCACCTTGTGTTACCTCTCCCTCGGGCATGGAAGTCCTGGTGGGTGCCATGTAAAGCCGTACATGTTGGTCACCCTTGGAGGGAGGCTGAGGGGCCCCAAGTGCTGGCACCCACAGTGAGGCACCCTGGTTCCTTTGCGCTGTTGGGCCGAGTCCCCGTTCGGAGCTGTGTGTGAAGCTGTCATGCCATTAGGTGCCTCTGGCTGACATCGGGGTGTGGAACCCACAGCTGCCTGGGCACCAGCAGCACCAATAGACAGGAAGCATCGCAGTGGACTGCGTCTTCCCCAGCAGGCTCGGCCCAACGAGGGGATAGTATCACTGGTTCCTGGGCTGGGTCATCTCCGCTGCTCACAGCACAGTGTTAGGAGTTCTCTCAAGGAAAGCAAGAGAAGAGTGACACCAGGAGGACTTGGGGGGGGGGGGGGG